CGACAGTGCTATAGCGACAGGGACAGATTTGGTGTTCTCCACCTTTATACCTGCAGCCCTTAGAAAGTTCAGATTCTATATCAGATATGCAGCCAGTTCACATGGAAATTCTGTTAGTGCTTGGTGGGAGATCTTAACAAAGGGCAGTGTCCTCTCCCTTGATGTCATTTCTTGAATGTCTCATTTACCTTGAGGGTATGAATGTATTGAACCTGATTGATTCTGAAGATATTTGCGTTTTTCCTTATCTCCCCTGGTAATAACTTTCATAAGGAAAGTTATATGACTTGCTTATCTGAAACTTGCCTCTCTCAAGGCCCCAGGGCTCTACACAGTGCAAATATCCTCATTCCAGCTTATCCTCCGTATGGTGGTCTAGCTGCTGCTTCTTGCGAGCAAGAAATTGACCTCTTTGTAGAAGCTCCATATACAAAAGATTCTTATTCAAGGCTATCAGAGAAGCAGGAACAAATTTGCGTGGTTATGCTGATAAGCCTTTTTTCCAGGGCACTGACTGAGACACGAGTTTGCATTGAAAAATGCTCCCAAATTTAGAGACAGCAGGAAGCTAACAAAAACCGACCCACAATGAAGGAGCTGCAACCTATCCTGTTTTGAAATTAGAATATACTGTCAAGTGTGAGGCACTAATGGATTTCTTGGTTCATCTAGAAGCTATTGTAATGGGTAAAAGATAAGACCATCTTAAGATACTTAAAGTTAATAAAAAGTACACAGAAAATGTCATTTAAGGAAGCTAAGAAAATGGAGACTCTACTCTCTACTCTCTTGTGTCTCTACTCTCACAGAGGAAAAAAGTTACTGGTTCTAACTCCAAAGTGTGAAAAAGCCAGGTGCCAGAAAACCCTGACAGATCGGATACATCCTCCGAGAGCATCCTTCTTGCTGGCTCTAATTCCACTGGGTAATTTGCTCTCCCAAGTACATAAAAAAATCTGGCAGTGAGGGAACAAGTACAATCCAGAGCCTACTACTCCTTGCAAAATCCCACGCTGGCGCTGTACTTTTACAGTACGGCTTTGCTGAGTTTGCGTGGTATAGCTCAGCTCCCCCCAAAAGCATCATCCCTCAGTGAACTGACAAATTTAATCTCGGAGCCTGTGAAGCTGAGTTCCAGTCCCTGGACCACGGTGGCTTCACCTAGTGTCGCCAGCGCGGCATGACAGAGCCAGCTGGCCTCGTGGTCTTTGCTGTGGAGGAAGCGAGGGGCTGAGCCTTCCCAGTGGCAGCTACTCAGGAGCCAGCATCCTCCCCGCCCCTCATCCGGTCACATGGGGTTTGGGGTTTAAGCGAGAATTAGATGTGGGTTTCCTTTGGGGGCTTTTTCAGGGCAGATGCCCAGCAGAAGGCTTCTCAACGGTGAGAGTTTCCTTTCCCCCCTGCAATGCGCAGTTCAGTGCACAGACTTGAGCCAAGCAGCTGAGCCCTGGAGGCGATCTGCTTAGACTTTAGTTCCGCTTCTGAGAGACCAGGGCGTCCTGGAGCTAGGTCCTGTTCACCACCCTTTGATAACCAGATTCACCGCTTCTGCCCCTTAGCCTGTGTTTCCTAAGAAAGACAGAGGACACTTATTTTTAAGTTTCCACCACGTTGAAAAATAGAATCACACTTTAAAAATGAATAATTTCCTATGTTTGTCTAATATCAATGCATAGTCAAATTTTCCCAATTATCCTAGGAGTAACTGTCCAAGTCAGGATCTAATGAGAGTGTCCATTTATATCCAATTGTATGTCTTAGTCCTGGTTTTCATGACACTGACTTTTTAAGAGATTGGACAGATTATCCTCTAATTTAGCTGCCCTGGTGTATTTATCTGCCTGCTTCCTTGTATCCTTCTGCGCCCTGTGTTTTGTGTAAACTGTAAGATAGATCTAAAGTCCCAGTTAGATTCAGGTTCAATGTTTTGACTGAAAGGAAAAAAAAATACATACCAAGGAGTATTGAGTACTTCAAGGTGTCTGCCTCCCAAGACAATGTTGTCTTGGCATTAGTGGTCCTGAGACTCAGCACTGGATTAAAATGTTGGCCTTCTGATTTCCCCATGTGGATTGTTCTTCTTGTGCCCTGAAAGGGAGCATCTGTATGGTAGTACTTTGGCACCATATGGTCTCGGTCCCCATCAACCGCTTGTCTGATCATTTTATCAGCAATTGAAAATCCTTGCCTGAATCCACAATTTCCCCTTCGCATTTCCTTTTCCAGAGTGTGCAGGTCTTATGCTATGCTGCTTACCAGTTATGGTATGAGGCAAGTCATTAGCTTCCTGATCCTTAACTCCCTCATCTGTAAAAATGAGTCTAAGAACAGAATCAATTAGCTGGGCAGAGTGGGGCACATCTGTAATCCTAGCTCTTTCAGTGGCTGAAGCAACAGGATCACAAGGTCAAGTCCCACCAAGGTCAAGATTTTAATGAGACCTTGTTTCAAAAGCAGGGGAGGGAGGGGCTGGGAATACAGCTGAGTGGTAGACTGCCCTGCTACACCCAAAAAAGCAAAACAACAGCAAAATAACAAATTCATAATCAATCCACATCCTATTGCTTGTATTACATGGGAAAACTGTGCACATACTTTTTGCCTGGTGCCTGGTGGCACGCATGTATGCAATAAGAATGATTTTTGTTATTGTGCTTTTCGTATATGGTTGGTGGTGCACTGCGGAGTGCTGTCCACTTGCTAACATTCTCGTGTATGTGTGTGTGGTGAAAGAGCCTAATGAAATCACTGAAAAGGAATTTGAGGCAATTAAACTTTTGATGAAAACTGACTTGTATTGTTTCTTAAAAAGCAAATTAAAATTTATTCTGAAAAGAACTGCTCAGGTCAGTGTTTCCCGAGGTGTGTCCTGAGAACCAGGAGTCCTTCAGGGTACTCCACAGGAGAAGGGGCTGCTGTTAAGGTCTAGGAATGGTTTCCTGTTCTTTTCCTCTCCTGGAGTTTTGTTGATATGTTATCATGGTTCTGGAAAGCTTCTCAGGAAAGAATCCCGCTTAACTTTGTGTAACGAAATATTTTCTAATCTACTTGCCTATGGGCACTATTCCCTTACCACCACAGTACAGCTTGTCTTTTCAAGCCAAGCAACACATATGAACATTATATTGAGCTGCCTCAGATCCTTCGAAAGGCTTAAATGAGGAGAGAGACAGGTGGCTCAGTGATTCCACAGCAAGAGTTGGAAGGCATCTGAATTGTCTATGGGTCTTAAAAGTAGAGTACTCAAGAGTTTCAAATCTCTTTTAGGGGACAGAAAAGGTAGGGTTTGCAGAGTAAGTAGTAAGTGAACAGCCAAATTCATTTCCTGGGATTTTCCCCCAAAGCTTATCAGGCCTCCCAGTATAGCTTGGAATGCACCTGTCCTATAAGTGTCATACGGCCCCTGGGACTTGCTTAGGCTGGACATAGGGAGGCCCCTTGGGCTGATGCTCAGAGACTGAGGAACATCTCTGGGGGCATCACGGTTCAGAGAACTTGGAGCCAGAGAAACATGGGTCAAAGTCTTACCTTTCCCTGGTATTTATTCATTATGGTACCTGGGAAAAATCCCTTGACCTCTCTGAACCTCAGTTTCTTCATCTGTGTAGTAGTTAAAGTGCTTGGCTCAAACGGTGTGAGGCTCTCACTAGATTCTTAAAAGCATTTTTTAAAAATATGAAGTGCTATATATTACTACCAGTTAATTTTAATTTCAAGGGTGTTATTACAGATCACCTCATATCTTGGGAGTCCACTGAAATTGTCTAATATTTATTGAGCACTCAGCAATAGGCACTGGGCTAGATGCTGATACAGAATGTGCAAAAAGCAATCCCAGGGCCCGATTCATTGAGCTTACTTTCCACTGTGGGAGACATGATAAATATGGACACAAATAAATGTCTTATTATAGTCCTTTCCTTGCAGGTATTGATGTGATATTTTTAATAGGCATATTGCTTACAAGCTATTATATGTAGATGCATTTTGAAGATAATATCCACAAAGGGCTCACAAATAGTGAAATGAATTTGTCAGTTTAAGTAAAAAATAAGATGGTTAATGTAGTGGAAGAGACCTTAGGAATAACTTATCTGAATTTCTTCATTGTATACATGAGAAAGGTGAGAACCCAGGATGCTATAGAATAATTATCCAGTCCCATAGTTTTTGTTTTTGTGTATATGTGAGCATGGCTGTGTGTAGTGTGCACAAACATGTGTGTGTGGTTTGCAGGCATGTGTGTTCAAGGATGCTGAGGCAGCTCACCTTTTTCTTTCCTCTCTGCTGGGTTCCATCTGAAAGGCATTTTTAGAGAAGCTACTATTTTAATTGTGTGTAAATAGCATGCTACTATTTTAATTGTGCTTGATCAAACACAATTACATGTTTGATCAAGCACAATTGATTCTTCCAAACTTTGTTCCATGAATAATTAATATTTCACCAGATGGTAATTGCTTACCACTGTAAACTTCCTGGTCCATTGACCTCGGGACACCCTGCATCAGCCCGTGCTTCCACGGTAAAGTTCCATAAATGTATCTTGTGATTGTTAAAAGAGTATTCCTGAAGTTAGGAATCCTCTCAAGCTATGTACCTTGTGGCATTCCCAAGCATTTGACTTCAGAACCTCTTTTAAATTCTTGAGCAATGAAAGTGGTGGGATAGGCCATGTGGTCTTTCAATTTTTTTGTCTTCTTGGGGAAGTTTGTGGAGGCCTGATAATGCTCAGTACCCCAAACTCAATCCCACAGCTTTGCAGGGTCAGTTTCCTCGGACCTAGGGCCTCAGGCACACTGTGGATGTGTTGTAACACAGAGGAGCAACAGTGACCGGGATGTGCATTTGTTTATGGTGACAGTGGCCTGGAGACCAAGCACTGGCTTGGGTACCAAGAAAACGGTATATATTGTACTTCTTTGGAGGAAAACAATCATCTTTTTTTTTTTTTTGACTATCATTTTAAAGCCTTTTAAAAATTATTGTTACTTTTTCAGGCATTTACAAGTCCAGAGTTCTCCAAGAGGGCGTGATGTCTTCGCAGGACATGCTTATAAGGTAGCTGGACATCTTATTTCAAAGAACCCCCACTCTCTGCCTTCAGAACTGTCCATGTCATGCCCCAAAGCCTGTGGCTGCCTGGCTGGGCCATCTAAACATGAACCTGTTAGTGGTATTTTGAAGTCTTTGAGACAAAAGCCCAGCCTGCTAAAGAACTCTGGTTCAGGAGAGAGCCAGGGAGGTACAGTGAAGAGGAGAATCAAAAGCCTGGAAATATGCTGCTGAGAATAAATGCTAGCTGCTCCCTGAGGTGATCTGTGTGAGCACTCCACTCCGCAGATGGTAGAGCCTCTTTCTGAGTAAGGACCCGAGGTTCTTTGGTAGCACTTTGATATCCTGCTCGAATTCAATATGTGAAATGGAGGCGTCTCTCTGTGACTTGGAGCCCACAGCAGGCTTTGAAGTCTGATCCAATTTTTGCTGCCTACTATTTGATGTTGAAAGGATGAAATGAAGAAAATGTACAGTTTTTGCCAGTAACTCTGCTGAGCATATGTAAGATTAAAAAAAACAAAATCCTTTGGATGATGTACTTAGAAATGTTAAGTAGATTAATACCTTCCTATAGGTTTTCTTGTTTCTTTCTTGATAAAAATTAAGTAAAGGTAAAAATCAGCATATGGCTGTTTTCTGTTCTGGATTATAATTAATTTAAGAGGGGGCTAGGTTAACTTGTGCAGAGGAAGAAATAAATGAATGAAGCAGAAGGTGTTGAGACTTTGCTTTTAATTGCCCTTAGGAGGGGACCTTCACTTAATTCTGGGGGAGATGGGCACTGCATATAAATGGACCAGTACACTTACCCTCTTCCCCTTAGAGGGCTAAGGGGCCCTTAGTTTAATGGAGCCACGACTTTAAGGCTGCTTCATCAGAGGATAAAAATAATGTTTTTCTTACTGGTTCTTTCTAAGAGCTCACTTGCCGGGACTGATGCATCATCTCAGACAGGTCATGCTGCCACAGATGCCCAAGGACTGAGCCCCCAGGAAGCCTCTTGTAAACCTGGTAAGAAGGATGAGTGGAATCCAATGCTGCTTCTTCCATCTGCATGTTTGTGTACCTTTTAGTGAATTCGTTGTGTAGGACTATCTATAAGGCAGGACTCAATGAAATAGTAATGTTAGCAGAAAGTTTGGGTTTGGGAAGCCATAAAGGCTAGAAGCAAAACTTGCACTAAAGATAAAGTTACTGCTTGCTCATGCCTTTTAACTTTACATTTCTGAGGGAAGATAATGCATATCACTGTCCCTACTTTTCCCAGTCTTTGGAAGAACCTCAAATTAGAAGGCTTCTAAAACTTAATTTTGTTAAAGGAAAGGTAAAAAGATTTACAGGAGCAGGTTGCTCAGGGCCAAAATCTTGGGGTTGGAAAAGCATATGGATTTAGAAGCTAGTTCTGTGTTTGGGCCATGAAGCCATTCTTTCAGCAGGTGGACAGCTATCTTGCCACACACCTTGGGAAATGAGTGTTTTTGGTCCTTTTTCTAAATTCCTGCTATTGAATATGGTAGAAGTCTGTTTCAGGCTTGTAGGTGGCTATAATTGTTGGTTCTTTTGGAAGACAAAATAAAGAAAACAGATTATAAAAATATTTATGAACCAGAAGAGACTAGGATTGTGTGGACTTTTCCAAGGATAAAAACCTTTCAGTTTAAGTATTGATATTACACTCAATGACAAAATCATACATTTTTCTGAAAGATAAAGTCATTTCTCAAGTCTATCCATATTTCTTTCTGGCCTGTTTTTATATGATAAAGCACTACAATATGAAGTGGGAAATGCAGAGTAAATGTGTTATGTCTTCAGTTCACATGGAATTTAAACTCTTAGAGAAGCCAGAGGATGAATCTCTTATAGCAGACCCTTTTACAGTGATACGCAGCAAGTAATAGACCTACCACAGGCACCGTGTCCTAGTAACCAGACAGTGTTGAGGAGTAAGACCATAGTGAGGCAGAAGTAGGAATAGAACAATGAGGAAAAGGATTTAGGGAAAACACAGTGTGGAAGGGGAGAATCCATTATGCAAGAATTTGCTTGGTATTTTTGTCTATCCAAATAGGCAATCTCTATCTTTTATTTTGGGTTTTAGCACATTTATATTTAATGTAATTATTGACATGTTTTGATTTATCATCTTACTGTTTATCTCATGTGGTCTTTGTTCTATTGTGGCAGTCATCTTTAACATATGTGTAATTCCTGAAAAGAAAAATAAAGTACAGCTGAATAGCTAAAGGAACAGGTTCTGGAGTCAGGCCTGCCTGGGTTCAAATCTCTGCTCCTCTGGGTAGTGTTAATCAGGGTAGGTAATATTTTACTCCAGTGCCTGCACATATAAACTGAGAGTTGTGTGGTGGATTAAATGTGCCGGTGTCAGTGAAAGGCACAGCATAGTGCCTGGTTCACAGAAAACATTCATCACATGTTAGTGGCTATGGTGGGTATTATATATTGATAAAATTATACAAATCTATGACTAATAGAGCAGGAGATAAAGCTCTTACTGTAAGGTACTATACTGTGGTGGAATAATTCAAAGAATAAAGAATGTACTCCATTTCAATTAACAGCTATTAAAGTAGAAAACATTAGGTTGGATTAAGATCATCTTTCCAGGCTTTAGAAAAATAGCCTCTAACGTTAAACTTACTGGGGACTTTGCACAAATGGCTCTTAGGCTCTTCCTTTCACAACTGCCCCTTCTTTCCATTCAAAACCATTTTTTACTGTCACCCTGATGGTTACTTTCCCTTACATTCTTTTTCTTTTTAGCTGTGAACTCGTTTTACTTATTTGTTTATTTATTTGTTTTGAGTACACATTTGCAGTACACGATGTTTACATTTCCTGTGTGGAGTTGGTACATGTACACAGCACATCATAATTCCTCTTTTCATCCTTTTCCCTTCCTCTCCATCTTTCCTCCCTCTGTCTCTTGGTCCCCTTTCCATTTGAGAAAGTTGTATCTGCCTCCTTTCTGTTATCTATCTTTTATTTTGCTCTTTATATTTTGGGTTTCTTGTATAAAAGAAACCATGTGATAGTTAAGCTTGTGTGTCTGATTCATTTCAATTAACATTATGATTTTCTTACAGATGACTCAAGAAGCATCCTAAGTGCCCCCCTATTCTTTTTCTCTTTCAACTTCTGTTCTGCACAGAAGCCTAAGAAGCTTTTCCTAAGCATAACCTGAGCACAACAGTTCATTGCCTCCATCCCCAGCACCCCAGCATCCACACTAAGCCTCTATACTTGACAGTCAAGGCTTTCTCTGCTCTGGTCCTAATCTTCCTTTCTAACTCTACTTTCTTTGATGTCTCTTTCTCTTTCCATAGTTCAGATTCCCTAAGCTGTTCTCTATTCCCTGACGTGCCTGGGAAGTTCTTTCTCTCCTTTGTGACTTTGTTCATGCTGTCCTTCTGCCCTATGTGGCCTTTCCCACCTGGTTCTGTGGCCTTTGGCTTTGAACATAGTCCTTAACCTCATCCTACCTTGTATTGTAGTTATTTTCATGTAGCTTGTAAACTCTCTGGGATCATGGCTACACAGTTATAAATTTTCCTCTTACAGTTTAGGCTAGGCTCTTTTTGTTTTTCTTTATTTAGTTTTACAGTCTTGGTGATTGAACCCAGAGCTTTGTGCATGTTAGGCAAATGCTCTAATGCTGAGCTACTTCCCCAGGATTCTTGGTGAGGATGGGGCCAGGACTTTACATTGCCTGGGATCTACCGCTGAGCTGCAGCCCCAGCTCCAGGCTTAGGTTTTTGAATTCTTGAGCCTCCAAAGCTGTGATGAAATATAATTGAAACAAGAATGGAATGAAACTGTACTTGAATATACAAGTTAGAGAAAAATTTAAATGTATTTTTAATAATCCCAGAACAAAATACATTGTCTCCTGGTCACCCCCAAACAGATATCATGTACTAGTGGAACAAATTATGATAATCCAAGCTGTTTCATTTTATTGCTGATGTTTTGGGTAGCGGGGAAGGAAAGAAAGTTTAGACAGGAAAAAAATATTACATCTGAGCCAAATTTCCCTTAGAAAGCAACAAAGGTGAATTGACAAAAAATTTTGTTTTGTTCATATTATCAGTTATAGAAACAAGAGAGTATCTTCTAGAGACATTTTAGCAAGTTAGGGCTGTGTGTTTCATTATTTGCCTTAAATGATTCATTATTTCATTGTTTTATTGGGAGGCCAAAGGAAAGCATTGTGATGTATGTGTGTATGTATGTTGGTATGTACGTATGTTGAGACTCTTACTACGTAGTCCAGGCTGACCTTGAACTGGTGATGATGATCTTCCTGCCTCAGCTTCTTGAGTACTGGTATTACAGGTATGGACCACCACACCAGCTGTGACCTTTAAAAAGCAGACACATACTAACTTCCAGCAGGTTTGCCTCCTAACTTGTAGTGAGACTAACTTCACTGTTCTTGAGGGACCCTGGGTGGGTGAGGGGCTGGGAACTGATCTAAAGCTGCCAGTCACAAGCTCTGCTCAGAGAAGCCATGCAGAGGAGTCTGTACATGGGACTCAGACCTGGCTGTCTGCCCCTTTAGCCAGAGGGTCAGAAGTGTCCCCAGCTGGCCTATGTGTGCTGATTCATCTCTCACACAGAGAAAAATACAGCATACCTAGGAAGTGCATAACACAAACCACTTTGCCACTAATCCACCCAGTTAAATTATGTAATAGGACTGACAGGAATGTATATAGACTTGGTCCTCAATTTTACTATGTGAACATTTATTTGCTAGGCATTTGTTCTTCTCTTTATTTATTAAAAATAATTATGGACTGTTACTAAGTGCCTGAAAACATCCTTGGCCAGTACTTTTCAAATTGTTTTGTAAAATCATCTTTTTTTGCCCCAGTTGATTGTTTTCCAGTTTGCACAGTTTGATACTTTTGTAAACTACAATAACAAGAAATTACTGTAAAGATGATCATGCACTTGGGAGCTGTGCCAATATCAAATTGACCTTTTCGAAACTTCTTACTCTAAATGAGATCACTGAGTTTCTTTACTAATCCTGTTGGGGACCAGTGACAAGAGTAAACAACATGGTCAAATTCCTGCTCACACGATGCTATACTCTGGCAGACAGAGACAAATGAAAAACAACACCCATAATAAATAAAATAACTCAGCAGGGTATGGTAGCACACTCCTGTAATCCCAGCACTGTGGGAGGCTGAGGCAGGAGGATGGCAAGTTGCAGCCCAGCCTCAATAGCAAATGAAGTAAAATAGAATGAAGGCTGGAGATAGAGCTAAGTGTGTAGGCCCTCGGTACAGTGAAAAACAGAGAGAGAAGGAAAGAAAGAGCAGAGAGGGAAGGAGGAAGGGAGAGAGAGAAACAAAGAAAGGAAGAAAGAAAGAAAGAAAGAAAGAAAGAAAGAAAGAAAGAAAGAAAGAAAAAGAAAGAGCAAGCTATGGGATGTCAGAAGTGCAAGCATCATGGGGAGAAGGCACAGCAAGAGGGATGAGGAGTGGCCCATGTGTATATTTTTAAGGAGGTGATCAGGGTGACTTCATTGAGAGTTCAAGGTTTTGTCACCAGGCTGAATCTCTGAGGTCCCCAAGGCTGAAATGTAAAAATTTAACTCACCCTTTTTTAGGACAAGTTTGTCTGTATTGTATTTTATTTTTTGAGTTTTTAAATTAAGTTTATTGGTATAATTCATACATATATATATATATAGTGGCAGTTTTTCTTAAAAGTACAGTTTTAAGATCTTGATTTCCTTGTCCCTGTGTGTGTGGGTAGCGGGACTCAAACTCAGGCCTCAGGCTTGACAGGCAGGCACTGTACCACTGAGCTATATCCCCAGTCCCTCCTTGTCTCTTTTTGACCTAGTTTTATTTGTTCTGTCCTGCTTCAGCCTGGGTCAAGGCTTGATGACAATGAGCTAGCTCATTGTGTGACTTCCAGGGAGGGAAACAGCTGAGGCCAAGCCCTGAGGAGCCTCGGGAGCCCTGAGAGCC